ATATATAGCGTACAGGTCTTCGGGCTACCGAAGAGGCTGTGCCATTCCATCTGCAGGATTCTGATCAAGGATTATGAATTGTGACGGCATGTGTCTTCGGATCATCCTCGGGGATGTATATATATATATGCTTTACCACAGTGGTCTGATCGTAAATACACGGTTACGTAGTTGCATATCGTAAATACGAGCATATTATCGTAAGCGTATTACATTGTACGATACGTTAATGATATTGCTACGATATACGTATACGCATTATCGTGAGTACGAACACTGAAATCAAGCGTCACTGGTTGCTGTCAGAAAGCGGGTGAGTGACCTTTGATCAGGTAGCGCAGGGACAGAGGGTGCGCGGAATCAATCCTCGTTAAACTGTTCTACCGTAATGTGCTCGACTTCGAGTGCAGGTCGCCGGGCTATCAAATCAGAAGAGCCATCCCCTCTGCTGAGGATCAAAATTGCTGATCTTCGGATTATCCTCAGAGAAGTTGCCAATTATCCATTCTGCAACAAGTTTTATTGTCGCTTTAATTTTTTTTAATGACCCTCACTATTGTATTAATATATTTTTTGTTCCTGGCTTTTTAATGCCAACTATTTTTTTGAAGAAAAAAAGTTTTTCGCACATGTTTTAATATTTTTTTTGATTTCATGATCTCTTGATAATCCGCCCCGTAATGGGGCATCCAGGTATTGGAGGGGTACAGGTTGCAAAGGAGTAAAAGTGATAGATGAAAATGCTGCAAGAAACAAGATTTTCGTACTAAGTACCTAGCAAATCATCGATAGAAATCTACTATATACTTCGTAAATATATTGTTTGAGCTTAAAAAGAATTGTGGAAGGAACCGAAAATTTGCAGAAGAAATGGAAAATCTGTAGATGGAATCGAAATTCTGCAAAATTAATCAATAATCTCGTAAAATCTGTGGAATTGAAAGTACTGTGGTTGATCACTGACAAAAATCATAGATACATTGATCTTACGCCAACTTCCATCTCCTTTATACCAGTGCCGGATTGAACGTACGCAGGGCCCTAGACCATTCAAATTTTTGGGCCCTTACAAACAAATTTTTTTTTCTCGTATATTTTTTATTTATTCAAATATAAAAGTATTTACACGTCTTTTCATTTAAGAAAGTATATTTAAAATAAAAATAAGTAATCGTAAACTAAATTTTACTTTACTTTGTTAAATTATTAATATTGTTGTTAAATTATTTTGTGAAATTTATTTACACTTTACAAAATTAACCACCACTAAGATCGGTATTCAAAAATCTTTTTTCTGCTCTTGCGATCAATAAACTTATCTATTAGGTTATCAAAATTAATAACGTTAATAAAAATTATCTTATTTTATTAATATATATTTGAAATTGATTTTTTTTTAAATTATTGTTTTTCTTACTTTTTTAAAATTTATTTTCAAAAAATCCATTTTAAGGGGGCCCCTAATCATTGGGGGCCCCAGGCCATGGCCTAGTCTGGCCTAATGGGTAATCCAGCACTGCTCTAGGCCTATGTCTCATCGATGATACACCTTTGCAGATGTTTAAAATTTGATGGCAGGCCTGTTTTCAAATTATTTAAGGAACATTAGTTTTCGAGTAGAAAATTGATTTTTCTCCCCCAGTTTCAGAATTTGTCCCTCAGTAGAGTGATCATAAAGACCTGCTTTCCTTATAGATCACCAAGTCAAGCATCACTGGCTAGGATCTGTAAGCAAGTAGGTGACCCATTGATCAGTCTGCGTAAGGACGGAGAGTGCACGGTATCGTTCCTCGTTAAACTGTTCTACTTTAAAGTGTCTGACTTTATGCGCGGGTCGTCAGGCTACCATAGTGTAGGAGCCATCTCTTCTCCTGAGGATCAAAATTCTGATATCCTCATATGAACTATATAGATGTTTCCCGGGAAAACAGTCACCAGACAGACAGTCGCCTTAAGTGCATTGTGCGTTATAGTCTAGTGTGACGAAAATAAATTAGTAATCTACTACTGTTTGAGGAAAAACGGAGCCTGTCAAAAGAACGAAGTGAAGTGAACGAAATTATTCCAAAATCAAAACAAATATAGTTTTGATTTATAGCGGATTAAAAGGAATGCTATTGTACCTTTAATCTTATTCAATCGAATCCAGACGAATTATTATTTTCTGATTATTTGTTTTGATTATTAAAGCAGCTTAATTATGAGTGAAAATCAGCATCTGGTTAAGAAGAGGAAAAAATATTTGGAGCCTGATGCTACTGGCCAGAAAGCGATTGTACCTCGAACATCTGTATGGCGAGGTCAGTCATCGATTGTACCTAACGAAGTATTAAATTTAGCCGAAGAGACTAGGCATGAGGAAGCAGAAAATGTTATTGAAACGGTTGGACAAGCTTTCGGCGATTTTAGCTCTGACGACGAGAAAGACTCTTTAAATGTTGACGATCCTTGCTTCGATGGTGAAGGTATGCATTCAGAGGACGAATGCGCTGAATTGCATGAAGATGATGAGATCTATTATGATCGCACGTTTAGATCTGATCACTTGGCTGAAAATTTGAAGAGTTTCGAGAAGCCTTTGTTTCCAGATTCATCTTCTACTACTGCTGAAACTCTTTTAATGATTATGGTCTATGCAATGAAGCATAAATTATCTTGGACTGCAGTTGAAGATTTGTTGAAATTGTTCAATACAATTTTCGGCCAATCTGTGCTTCCTGAGACCAAGCATTCCTTCAACAAAATCTTTGGGACTGCAGACTCTATGTCATTTCATTTCTATTGCAATGACTGCAACAATTATTTGGGTAAATTTGAAGGCCAACTTACCAAAGAATTTAATGATCCTATGGTTTGTCCCAATGTTTTGTGCAAGAAAGTTCATAGTGGCAAAACCTTAAAGGAAGGAAACTTCTTTGCCACCCTATCCATAAGAAAGCAGATTGCAGCCCTGCTTAATATGGATGCAATTCGTGACTCCTTGTCAACATCATTAGAACAAATTAATGACAACCTCTATGATATGCCCAACAGCGTTTCAGACCTGACTGATGGTGAACTGTACAAAAAGAAGAGATATGTTTAAAGATGCAGATATTAGTTTAATGATGAACAGCGATGGAAGTCCTGTTTTCAAATCATCACGAGCCAGTATGTGGCTAATTCAGGCTGTCATCAATGAACTCCCTCCTCATCTAAGATGGGCACATTGTATAGTTGGAGGTCTTTGGTTTGGAAAAGGCCATCCAAACATGAAGTTATTCATGGAAGTATACATTAAAGAACTCACCGATCTCTCTGAACAAGGCATTCGATGGAAAAACAGAGACAAATACGTCGAATCCCATGTGTACACTGTATGTGGGTGTTTTGACTCTCCGGCCAGATGTGCAGTTCAGAATATGAACCAATTTAATGGTTATTTTGGCTGTCCCTGGTGTTTACATCCTGGAACATTAATAGAAGGAGTCATGAAATATAACACATTAGAAGAAGACCCAGAGTTGAGGACAGAGGAGCAGACTGTAGAGATTATGAGCAAAGTTCTCGATGAAGGCAAAGGCAATATAAAAGGCGTTAAAGGGTCTTCACCTTTGATTCTTGCTGAAGGCTTGGACTTCATTCGTGGAATTTGCCCTGAGTATATGCATGCAGTTTTGCTTGGTGTGACACGACAGATCACAGAAATCTATTTATCAAGTGTAGGCGAGCAATTTTATGTTGGATCCCCCACTGATTTGCGGCGTATTGATAAACGCTTGTTAAAAATCAAACCACCTCATGCATTTACTCGACTGCCAAGGTCTATCACGGAAAGGAAATATTGGAAAGCTAATGAGTGGAAAACGTGGCTCCTTTTCTACGCTTTACCATGCCTCCGTGGTATCCTTCCGGACAAATTTCTGCAACATCTGTCATTACTTTCCGAGTCCATCTTCTTGCTCTTAAAGGAGTCAGTTTCAATCGCTGACATTAGAGGTGCAGACATTATGTTAACACAATTTGTTATCCAGATGGAGATATTTTATGGAACTGCTGCCATGACGTTCAATGTGCATCAAATGCTACATTTAGCTTCAAGCGTGCGGGACTTGGGCCCTCTTTGGGCTTATTCAGCTTTTGTGTTTAAAGATGGCAATGGCAAAATGTTGCATCTGGTAACTGCAGCCAAAGGTGTTCCCCTTCAAATTTTAAATAGATTTGCCATGGGAAAGAAACTTGAGCACTTGTTTAATCAGAAGGACAATTCTGAAAAAGTTTCTAGATTCTATGAGGGCTTACATTCCTATAATCTATTGAAAAATTGCAGGACTCTAGGCAATGGTGTGCATTTACTTAGCAGGGAGAAAGTCTCCAAGACTTTCAATGCAACTGAAAGGCAGGCATACATTGATGCAATTGGGGCTGTTCCTGACGTGGTATCTGAATATGCCAGAGTTATTCTTAATTCTCGCATGTATCACAGCGAAGAATATACACGAGCAGGAAGGACTGACAACACCGTCGTAAAACTTCAGTCCAATTATGGCAGTGAATATGTGAAGATTGAAAAATTTGTTGTTATGACTGTTGATAACATTTTACAATGTCACATTCTATGTCGAGAGCTGCTAGCCCCTGTTCAAGTAGCACCTGCAACTTATATGCCAAGGCATATAAAGGAGCATAAATTGACTCCTAAGGAACATTCCATTCTCGTTCCAGTTGAGAAAATCAGGCACATCTGTGCAGTTGTCGAGGTAGACTCGTTTTTATATGTTTGTGAAATACCTAACTTTCACGAAAAAGATTAAGATATGATACAACTGATTTGTATTACTTGATATTGTATATATTTTATTGTATAATTGTATTATTATATCATATATATTTGATATTCATTTCAACTTTTTTATAAGTTGAATAATTTTGATTGTTAACACTTGTCTGCATCTATGTAATTTCTCAACTGTCTTCATTGTATATATTTAATATTCATTTCAACTTTATTATACGAGTTGAATAATTTTGATTGTTACATTTGTCTGCATCTATGTCATATCTCATCTGCCTTCACTGTTGCTTATATTGTTTATATTTGATATTCATTTCAACTTTATTATACGAGTTGAATAATTTTGATTGTTACATTTGTCTGCATCTATGTCATATCTCATCTGCCTTCACCATTGCTTATATTGGATATTCATTTCACCTTTATTATACGAGTTGAATAATTTTATTGCAATACCTGCCTGCATAAGTCAACTTTGAGCTGCCTTCACCATTGCTTAGATTGTATTTATTTGAATTTATTTATTTCAACTTTTCTTATTGAGTTAATCTTATTGAGAATAATTTTAATCCCATTAACTGCTGGCCTCTCTGAAACTTCATTTAAATTTTATTTAATTTTACCATTCTGATTGTAAAAACTGCGTATATTTTTATCAACGTAAAATGTCTTCCCTATCGTATTCGTATGAAAATGACATTCATGAGTTACATAATTTATATTATTTTCACTATCTGTACTAGTGTATAGATATCTTGTATCTCTTTAGCAATATAAATTTTTTTTTATTATTTTATGTTTGTAATTTTGTGTAGTAGAAAAAGTATGCTTTTTTCTATATTCCTGAGTAGGAATAATATTGTGTTTCAATTTTTTTAATAGCATTTGCAGATTCATAATATCAATAAAAAGACAAAAAACTATCTTAAGCTGTTTTAGTTATATCATTTATCCACATCTAAAAAAAATTTACTTAAATATTTCCAGAATGATTTTGTACTGGTTTTTAAATTACCGGTATCTATCAAAACTGGTATAAAAATGTCCAGTATGTTAAAAAAATGATCTCAGAATTTCCAGTATGTTTGTATACCAGTTTCAAAATTTCCAGTATGTTTTAAACCTGGTACCGAAATTTCCAGTATGTCTGAAACCCAGTATCAAAATTTCCAATATAGTCTCATATCGGTTTTGAAATGCCCAGTATGGTGCAATACTGGTTTTAAAATTCCCAGTATGTCTCAAACCCGGTATCAAAATTTCCAGTATGGTCTCATATCGGTTTTGAAATGTCCAGTATGGTGCCATACTGGTTTTGAAATTCCCAGTATGGTGCCATACTGGTTTTGAAATTCCCAGTATGGTGCAATACTGGTTATGAAATTCCCAGTATAGGGTCATACTGGGTTTCAAAATTTCTGGTATGATTTCGTACTGGGTTTTGAATTTCCAGTATAATGATACTGGTTCCAGTATAATTCATACTGGTTCCAGTATCATTTTGATACTGGTATTGCAAATTTTTTCCAATAGGGTCATGCTGCCCAGAAAGCGAGAAGGGAAATATCCCTACGGAGGTACCTTTTTTTTCCAGGGACCCTTTTTTCCGTACCTTTTATTCCGGGACCTTTTTTTTTCCATACCTTTTATTCTGGGACCTTTTTTCCGTCTACCGTTCTATTCCAGGTACCAAGTATCTGTTAAACGAAGCAATAAAATCTTCAACAGGTGACCAATCTTACAAAATCCACCTTTATTGTGCCAATTACAATAATTACATTTCAGAAATGAAAAAAGGTAATAAAGAAGTTTTGTGCACGCTTTGCGAGAAGAAAAAATTATCATCAGAGCTCATAGATGAAGGAAAGTTCTTTATTTATATACCGTAAGAAGATCAACTAAGAAAAAAACTTGAAAAGCAGCCTCAAATTCTTGATATTGAGAACTATCGTGCTCTCTGTATTAATCGAGAAGGTTACTATAAGGACATTATTAGTGGTGATAAATACTTGATGTCGGAAATGACAAATAATTTAACATTGCAGTACAATGTGGNAAAAATTTCATAGCTTTAGGATAAATTCAAAGATAGTTACAGTGTGTCGAAAATATCGTATTTCATTGTATCGTTTAAGGCGTTAAAGGGTCCTGACCCCCCTTAATTCTCGCATGTATCACAGCGAAGAATATACACGAGCAGGAAGGACTGACAACACTGTCGTAAAACTTCAGTCCAATTATGGCAGTGAATATGTGAAGATTGAAAAATTTGTTGTTATGACTGTTGATAACATTTTACAATGTCACATTCTATGTCGAGAGCTGCTAGCCCCTGTTCAAGTAGCAACTGCAACTTATATGCCAAGGCATATAAAGGAGCATAAATTGATTCCTAAGGAACATTCCATTCTCGTTCCAGTTGAGAAAATCAGGCACATCTGTGCAGTTGTCGAGGTAGACTCGTTTCTGTATGTTTGTGAAATACCTAACTTTCACGAAAAAGATTAAGACATGATACAACTGATTTGTATTACTTGATATTGTATATATTTTATTGTATAATTGTATTATTATATATGTTTGATATTCATTTCAACTTTTTTATGAGTTGAATAATTTTGATTGTTAACACTTGTCTGCATCTATGTGATATCTCAACTGTCTTCATTGTATATATTTAATATTTATTTCAACTTTATTATACAAGTTGAATAATTTTGATTGTTATATTTGTGCGCATCTATGTCATATCTCATCTGCCTTCCCCATTGCTTATATTGTTAATATTTGATATTCATTTCAACTTTATATGAGTTGAATAAATCTGATTGTTACGTTTGTCTGCATCCATGTCATATCACATCTGCCTTCACCATTGTTTATATTTGATATTCAATTCAACTTTATTATACGACTTGAATAATTTTAATTGTAATACCTGCCTGCTTCCGAGTCAACTTTGAGCTGCCTTCACCATTGCCTAGATAGAATATTTGATATTCATTTCAACTTTATATGAGTTGAATAATTTTGATTGTTACGTCTGTCTGCATCCATGTCATATCTCATCTGTCTTCACCATTGCTTATATTTGATATTTATTTCAACTTTATTGAACGAGTTGAATAAATCTGATTGTTACATTTGTCTGCATCCATGTCATATCTCATCTGCCTTCACCATTGTTTATATTGTTAATATTTGGTATTCATTTCAACTTTATATGAGTTGAATAATTTTGATTGTTACGTTTCTCTGCATCCATGTCATATCTCATCTGCCTTCACCATTGTTTATATTTGATACTTATTTCAACTTTATTGAACGAGTTGAATAAATCTGATTGTTACATTTGTCTGCATCCATGTCATATCTCATCTGCCTTCACCATTGTTTATATTGTTAATATTTGATATTCATTTCAACTTTATATGAGTTGAATAATTTTGATTTTTACGTTTCTCTGCATCCATGTCATATCTCATCTGCCTTCACCATTGCTTATATTGTTAATATTTGATTTTCATTTCAACTTTATATGAGTTGAATAATTTTGATTGTTACGTCTGTCTGCATCCATGTCATATCTCATCTGCCTTCACCATTGTTTATATTTGATATTCATTTCAACTTTATTATACGACTTGAATAATTTTAATTGTAATACCTGCCTGCTTCCGAGTCATCTTTGAGCTGCCTTCACCATTGCCTAGATAGAATATTTGATATTCATTTCAACTTTATATGAGTTGAATAATTTTGATTGCTAAATTTGTCTGCATCCATGTCATATCTCATCTGCCTTCACCATTGCTTATATTGTTATTATTTGATATTCATTTCAACTTTATATGAGTTGAATAATTTTGATTGTTACGTTTGTCTGCATCCATGTCATATCTCATCTGCCTTCACCATTGTTTATAATTGATATTTATTTCAACTTTATTGAACGAGTTGAATAAATCTGATTGTTACATTTGTCTGCATCTATGTCATATCTCATCTGTCTTCACCATTGCTTATATTGTTTATATTTGATATTCAATTCAACTTTATTATACGACTTGAATAATTTTAATTGTAATGCCTGCCTGCTTCCAAGTCAACTTTGAGCTGCCTTCACCATTGCCTAGATAGAATATTTGATATTCATTTCAACTTTTTTTTTATAGAGGGTGAATAATTTTGATTGTTAAATTTGTCCGCATCTATGTCATATCTCATCTGCCATCACCATTGCTTATATTGTTTATATTTGATATTCATTTCAACTTTATTAGTTGAATAATTCTGATTGTTTTTAATCCCATTAACTGCTGGCCTCTCTCATTTGCCTCATTTGCATTTTATTTAATTTTACCATTCTGATTGTAAAATCTGTGTATATTTTTACCAACGTAAAATTTTTCCCTATCGTATTCGTATGAAAATGACATTCATGAGTTACATAATTTATATTATATTCACTATCTGTACTAGTGTATAGATATCTTGTATCTCTTTAGCGATATAAAAAGTTTATTTATTATTTGTTTTATTCTATATTTGTAATTTTTTGTAGAAGAAAAAGTATGCTTTTTTCTATATTCCTGAGTTGGAATAATATTGTGTTTCAATTTTTTAATAGCTTTTACAGATTATAATATCAATAAAAAGACAAAAAACTATCTTAAGCTGCATTGTTTTAGTTATGTCATTTATCCACATCTAAAAAAGATTTACTTAAATATTTCCTGAATGATTTTGTACTGGTTTTTAAATTACCGGTATCTATCAAAACTGGTATGAAAATGTCCAGTATGTTAAAAAAATGATTTTAGAATTTCCAGTATGTTTGCATACCAGTTTCAAAATTTCCAGTATGTTTTAAACCTGATACTGAAATTTCCAGTATGTCTCAAACCCAGTATCAAAATTTCTAGTATACTCTCATATCGGTTTTGAAATGTCCAGTATGGTGCCATACAGGTTTTAAAATTCCCAGTATGTCTCAAACCCGGTATCAAAATTTCCAGTATAGTCTCATATCGGTTTTGAAATGTCCAGTATGGTGCCATACTGGTTTTAAAATTCCCAGTATGTTTCAAACCCGGTATCAAAATGTCCA